TGTGTTGGGGGGCATGGGAGAACACAATGGGCATCCCTGGGGGTTAGGATGCTGGGGATGCTTGGCTGGGCATTTGGCTGTCCACATGGCAGGGCAGAGCCAAACCCAGGGCTGAAGCTGTGCCTGGGACAGCCCAACCAGAGCCAGCAGCCCCAGAAGGGACATGGGGTCCCAGTAGCCCCAGGGCTTGGCCACGGGCACCACTGCAAAGTCCCCCGTGTCTCCAGCCTGGTCTCCATGGCTCTCCAGAGATGGGCTGAGAGGTCACCAGTGTCTTGCCTGACCTGCTGCCTGAGTGGGAAATGGGACAGAGTGAGTCCAGAGGAGGCCATGGAGATGATCCAAGGGCTGGAGCAGCTCTGCTCTGGAGACAGACTGGGAGAGTTGGGGTGTTCAGCCTGGACAAAACTCCAGGGAGACCTTAGAGCAGCTTCCAGTGCCTGAAGGGGCTCCAGGAAAGCTGGGGAGGGGCTTGGGACAAGGGCAGGGAGGGATGGGATGAGGGACAATGGTTTCAGACTGAAAGAGGGGAGGTTTAGATTAGACATTAGGAGGAAATTCTTCACTATGAGGGTGGTGAGACCCTGGCCCAGGTTGCCCAGGGAAGCTGTGGCTGCCCCATCCCTGGCAGTGTTGAAGGGCAGGTTGGATGGGGCTTGGAGCAGCCTGGGCTGGTGGGAGGTGTCCCTGCCCATGCAGGGGGTTGGGACTAAATGATCTTTAAGGTCCCTTCCAACTCTAACCATTCTGTGATTGTATGAAAGGTCACCCAAGCCCTGACAGCCTCACACAGCAGCTCCCTTCTGCTCCCTGCCCTGTTGCAGCCAAGAAGGAGCCAGCCCTGGATGCCCCACACCTGATGGGTGCAGGACTCGTGCCCACAGCCCCTGTCTCCCCGGTAAGCGCTCACCTACCTGCAGGTCAGGAGTCGTTCCTCCAGGTCAGAAACTGTCCCCCCAGGTCAGGAAATGCCCTCTCCTGGTTGTTTGGGCAGGGATAGAGATGGGGCTGCTGGGGATATGGGTCTCTGTGGGGTCACCCTTGGCAACAGGGGGATGGGCGGGCATGGGGTGAAGTGGGGACGTGTGGCCGGGGTGCCAGGAACCACCTGAGTGTTTTCTCCCCTAAAAGAAAGAGGGCAGAGGGGGGAAAGACTCAGCTGGCAGGACCTCATTCCTGGCAATGCTGCCCTGGGGTGATGGGGCTAGGGCTGCCCCTGCAGATGGGGAGATGCTCCGTGGGGACAGGGCTGTGTGTCCCCTTCCCTGTTCCCCTCACGGGTGTTCGGCTCATGCACCGGCAAAAAAAGGGGAAGGTCTGGTCCCTGGCATCTGTGGGGCACTGCCCCCCAACCTCCCACATCCCTCTGCCTTCTCCCAGCAGCAGAACTCTGTCTCCGATGTCCCTGCCACCTTCCTCTCCAGGATGACCCACCTGAGCCCAGGGCTGGCTCCTGGCTCCAGCCCTTCCCAGGCAGCCCCCCCGGC